CAAGTTTCTCAAAAGATCTCAAAAATAGCCATTTCATTGTTCCAATTTATGATTACTGCTTGCAGATGATGCCAAGCAGCCATATTAAACAATAATATGAGAGTCACTCGCACTGATATTTTTTATTTTGCATATCACTGTATCCTTGTATATCTTTCTGTATCAAAACTGTCAGTAATTATCCCTTTACTCTATGTGCTCGTGTATCGTGGTTCAAAGCTGCCCGACCGGGATAATGGTTAGTGATGCCGACTGCCGCACTCAAGGGCCCAGCTTCAAAACCCGGAGAAGGTTTACACCATACATTTACATATTTCTAAATGTATAGTGTCCATGCGGCATGGGAGCATTACGCAGCCTCTCGAGAAGTTAGTGATAGGAAAAGAGGGATGGGAAACCCTCAAACCTGTCCATCCGGCTGCTCTCCATAAAAATTGGGGGCAAAACTCAGCAAAAAATTTTATCATTTAAGATGTACAATTTCATTGAAAGAAATGTTACCAATTTCCGATAGCAATGTTTTTCAGTGAAACTAACTCATACAATTAGTTTGAAGAGTTATGGAAACAATATAGAAAAAAGGTGAATTCGAGTCAAAAAAACAAGTGGACTTAACAGGTTCACACTTTCCTTACATGAAATTAAGGACTTTTAAGGACCATCAAAGAAAAAATTAAGGACCTATCAGGAAACAAAAAAATGAATAGAATAAATAAAGCAATTATCCATACAACCGACTTCATGCTTGTAATTTCACTTTAAAAAAACTAACAGAAGTGTGTATTATGCACTATTATTAAATTCAACTTAATACTTACCATAAAACAATTTTGAAAATTAAACTAACTCCCTACAAGTTATGAAGTAGATAACATTAAATGAGGAACATAATTTCTTGAAAAACATGTATAAGTGTATTTTACACTAATAACAGTCACTATTTTAGAGATTTACATGATTATTATTTAACTTATTTGATATTTATTTAAACATAGTCAACTACTATTATAATCACAATGTAAGAATATTTTGCAGATTAAAATAACTGATTTGTAAACATACAATTTATTTCCTTGGTTTTTTGAAAGATACTAGAATAATAAACTGTACAATAAAAGATACAAAACATTTGTGCTTTTTTTAAATAATCTGAAATCTTTTTTTCCTTTTCTTTAACTATTCTTCTAAGTTCATTTGCTTTGATAAACAAATCAATGTTCCTGATGGTCTCAGCTTTATCTGCTAAAGCATCTACTTCTTCATTAATGTCTTTAATGTCCCTTTGAGGAAAGTTTTTCTTCTGCTTCATATAATCAATTTCTTCTTCAATAATATTTCTTTTCCTCTTTGAATTTTCAGATTTAGTTAAAGATTTTTGTTCTTCTAAATACTGAACTTCTAAATAACGAACTCCACTTCTTGCAGAAGCTGCTGCTGATCTCATTTCTTTATTAATTTCGATATTAAGAACACCTCCAGAAAATTTTATGTAATCAAATACTGTGCGTTGAAAAATGTATGATGAGTCACTTAAATTTTCAAATTCAATTGCTTTATTTACAGAGAAGCCCCTTTCCACAGAGGCCTGTTCATGTGACAAGATAAGAATACTTGTCACAGTGAATACTTGAATAGTGAAAATATACTTGAATAGTGAAAATATACATTTTTTACTATATATATATAATTTATTTCCTAAACAATATAGATTAATTGATTATATTATCTCCTAAGTTTAATTAAAGTAGAATTATTTTAAAAGAGTGAATCCATACTGGTAAGTTATATTTTGAAAGATGTATATATATATATATAAAGTCCGAGATCCGGACATCTAATATCTGGAATGATCTAAAATCTGGACCTCAAAGCCACCACCAACCAATTTTTTAGGGCTTTTTTGAAGGGAAGGGGTTGCGCGCATTAGATTTTTTTCCCTCATCATAAAAAAAATGCCAGAAATCCGATTCTTAATCTTAGTTTGGTGCTAAATAAAATATCTCATTATTGAAGAAAGAAATAATTATTTTAGCATAAATTTGTGTGATTAGTAACTTGACTCCATAGCTGCGTATCTGCTTGGCATAATCTCAAACCGAAACATTTGTTAATTTTACACCAACTAATATTTTATATCCTTGATGCCGAAATCGCGAATCATTATTTATTGTATTTTGCTTTCATCACCGCATGTTTATCAACGAATGACAACTTGAGTGATGAATCATGCAGCGATGCCAAATAACAGAGTATTATACGATTACAGATTTAAATTTAATGCGCTAAAATGTTGACAAGGGGAGATTTAGCAGAAATTTCTTTCCTTATGCTAAAAATAGATTTTGTTAATGATACTCATAGGACAAACGATTATATTTAGTGCTATTTGAATTAAGAATAACTGATTTGTTATTCACATAAAGCCAGAACCAGCTCCAGAGCTCGCATGGCCGCACCAGGCGGCAGAATTTAGCGAAGTTAAACAGAAGTTTTTCATTGCAATGACAATGCCCAATCATCAATCAATTAACGGAGGGCGGAATCTGTAGTATGGTTCTAAATCCAGAAAATACAGCTACCGATAGTGAAGAAAGTAACAGAGAGGTTACTGAACGAGAAAAAATTTTGATTGACAAGTTATTCGGAATTCTCGACACAGCAATTACAGGACTTGAACAATGGAACTTAATAACTGAACAAGAAATTATATGTCTATAGTATTAGTCTAAAGTATTAGCAGAGAAAACAAATCAAACAACTCACATTGAAAGAAATGTTTATTAAAGTAAACATATAAATATTAAGCTCTTTTCTTTGGTAAATTTTGATACCCTTTAAATCATAAATGCTTCATTATTTCATAAATCACGATTTCATATTTTCAATTTTATAATTTCTACGTGCCATCTTAGTAGATTTAAAATGATCTAATATCCGGAAAAATCTCAAATCTAGGATCGCCGAAGTCCCGACGAGTCCAGACCTCGGACTTTGTACACTGTATAAATATATATATATATATATATATACGGAATGTATATTTTCAGTTAAACTTCTACCCAATAACTTTAGTAATTCATGAAAGTTAATTTTGCGTCTAGTTAATTCAGGAAAATTAGTTTCAATTAGTTGTTTTCAGCTTTAAAAATATTTAAAAAATTTTTAATTAGTTATTTTCAACTAATAATTGTATCGCCATTAGCAAAAATTATTATGCATTACTATCAAAAACATAGGTTTAAACCAAATACTTAATTGTCTATTGAAGCTTCAAAATGTATTTCCGAACTTCACTTTTTCTCAGCTAGCGTTACCGATTTTGCCCTTGGCGACCTAAAATCGAAATGGAGCCAACAGATTTCCCGCGAAATCGATAACAGACCCTCTGCAGAAATAAACTCATAATCCCGATATCCCATACATATAGTATGTGCAAAAGAGAATAAACTCCGTAGAAGGTGATAAAAAATTAATTTATGGCTTAATTGAAACAAACACAGAAATTAAGCTAAGCAAAACCGTGTAAAAAACAAATTGAAATGATAAAACGAAACTTAATTTTAATGTGAATTTTCAGTGCTGACTCTCCCATTCTAGAAATTTCAATTTGTTTCAGACAAAGACCACATTTAAGGATTGCCATCCATCAATATCCAGTCTTTGTAGTCAGCTTGATGAAGCCACAGTTTATTGAAAATGCACTTTCCAGGCATCTCGTTCCTATTGGCGTCGGAAGGGTTGTGGCCTTCCAGGTTGGAATTGCTCTAGTTTTGGCAAATATTTTCAGAATCTCCCCCCTCCCTTTTTTTTCTCGAGCACCTTCATCATCACTTTCGCCTCTTAAAGAACTTCCAGCTTCACGCTTTCGTCACAGTCTGCCTAAATTTATGGATAACACCTGTTTCGAAAGATTGCGTGAATAGCCAATCAGACACCGATACTTTCGTTCGGGTAGCTAATTGTTTTTTTTTTTTTTTTTTTTTTTTTTAATCGTTTGCAATGCAAATCCGCCAACAGATTAGTTAAGAGCCGTGTGTAATTTTAATTCCATATTCATGAGAAATCGTAATTCACACTTAGAATGGCAATCATTAGAAATGAATAAGAAATGTCAAATGAGCAAAATTAAGGACGTTTATTCCTTTTGGCCAAAATTAAGGACTTTTAAGGACCGTCAACCCTGTATCTTTCAAAAAAAATATTCAGGACGGGATCTCTAATTATTGGCAGCTCTAATGCTATGATTTTTGGTAGGATGGGATAAATTTTTAAAATGCCATTACTTTTTCTATTTTGCATTTAAATAAATGTCATGCCAATGGGTGAGAAAGGCCCCACAAAGACTTTTATGATGTATACATATAAAGCATAATTAAATGCTGCAAAGACTGCAAGTCTGTCTGAATATATGACCTAATTCCAAATAATGGTTTTTCATTAATTTGAATGGGCCCACCAGCAGCCGAGCGGTAAAGTCGCTGAACACTGGTAGTTCGGTCCGAGGTTCGAATCCCGCGAACGGGCTGGCTGCATGGGCGTTTTCATAGTTTTCCTCATGTGTAACGTGTATACGAGCCAGTTTCCCTTAAAAAGTCATCCACAAAGGCATCTCTCCCCTTAGACAGATAGCCCTAGTGTGCTTTGCCATAATTAAATTAATACCATTAATTTGAATGCTTCAGTTTCTGAAAACTCTTTGACATCATCAACTGCAATATAGAACTGAAATATTAGGGCAAAGCACACTAGTGCTATCTGCATAAAGAGATATGACTTTCTAAAGGTATAATTCTCCTTATGCATATCTTTAAGAAAGAAACTGGCCTGTTACACACAGGAAAAACCAATTACAGCATATGAAATTTTTTCATTATTTTCAATAATTTCATTTACCTTCATGAATTTTTTAACTATAAAGACTACAGAATTTATTGCACTAAAATGATTCTGTATTTCACCAAACCATCAAGGAAGAACATATTTACAGAATTAGAACTATAAAGGATACAATTTAATGAGCTTTATTTTCTTTTATCTTACATTTATGACTTAGCTAAAAATTTGTTTTGAAAGTTATTCTTATGAATATATTATTTTCATAAAACATGAGAACCCTGTGAGTAAACTAACTTTCAGCATTTTATAAGATAAAAAATTTAGTTTAACATCCACTTGCAGCATACATATTAGATACAAATACATCATATTAAAAAAATCATGGAACATCCTCAGCTGGTGAGTTTGGCATAGATATTGATTGAAGAGATGTTTCAGTTGACACAGAAGTTTCAACAGAATCTTCATTTTTAGGATATGGGATAGGAGACTTGTTTTCTTTTTCTTCTGAAATAGTGTCTTTCACTGTTGGTGAAAGTCCATGAGACATATAATTTGAAGATGCTGCTGGCATTTCCATAGCACTCGGTTCATTTACCATTTGGGATGATGGAATGAGATTAAGAGCCCCATCTGAGTTTTCCGGATCCAATGAGTCAGACACACTGTGAGGGGAAATGGGAATATTTAATATTTCAGGAATTTCAGCTGTCATTTCTGCTTGCGCTATAGATGTTTGAGTCTCATCTTCAGATGAAACGGGAGGACTAAGATGACGCTTTCCTGTACCAGGTGAGGACACTGCACTTTCAGATATTCTACTCCGAGCATTTTCTTTATAAATCTGTTCTAAAACTGTAGCAAGTTCTTTTTTTTTATTCTGGAGCTTTTTTCTCTTAATTTCATTATTAAGTATTCTCTCCTCCAGCATTTTCAAAAGTGGTCCACATATTACTTCTGCAATTTGTCCCATAGATCTTAAATAGACTGTAAGGAAAAAAAAAGTAAGTTTTCAATAACTTTTGCTTATTATATTTTGTGTAAGTTTAGACTTGCTATAATTTCAAAGTGAGTTGCTCATGCATGTGAAACAGTTATAAAACAGAATACCTAATACTGATGTCTTCTTCCCTTTAAGGTAATAATGTGTAGAACTTATGTAACCTACACAGTCAATATGTAACAAAATTTAATCAGGGAACACTATTCTACTTTTTTATTAATCATCCCATGCTCTTCATTTTGAAATCTATTATACACTTACTATACCATGATGATCTTACTAAACAACTGCTGCAGCAACATCTGACAAGGTTAGGCTATTTTAAATACAACAAACCAAAAAAGTATCTGCCTAAGAGGAGGGGGAATTTCCTGAGAACATTAAAAAGAAACTGTTCTATATTCCTGTTACACATGAGGAAAACAATGAAAACCATTCAACAGTCTTAAATACTCTCCAACTGAAAGGGCCCAAGGTTTACCAAACCAGGCTGCATTATGGACAACAACAAAATGTGCCTTAATACATATCTTCATTGAGTACAACTGTAAAAATTAAATGTAATTCTTTTAATTTTTATCTGCGTCTCCCAAAGAAAATATGTGAAAAACAAATGAAAAGAATTAAAACTATGCAATCTCGAGACTTGATGCAAACAACCTAATTCCTGACTGCTGATGCTCATAATGCTTAACTATTTCTAAATTTTCCTGTGACAGAAGTCATAAATAATTCCAATCCTGTCTGAGGGCTTCTTATTAAAGCCTAAATGGAAGACTACTATCAAGCTTATCACTGTTGCAGGTGTTGCAACTGTATCCCTACAAGTTGCAATCACTGCATCAGTTAACCAAATGACAACCCTGAGTAAGGAAAATTCACCACATGAATATTGAAAAAAGTTGATGATCCATAATAGGTCCACACAAGACAACCTAAGCACAGATTATTTATTATTAACATATTTTTCATTGCATAACTGTAAACTAGTCAAAAGAGCAAACCATGCGTTTACACATAGAAGCCATTACAATCAATGTGAATTAGTGCATGGTGCAGTTTCACAGCATTTGTCACCTTGTGCAAAAAGTGATAAAAAACATGCTCAATAACAGAACAGCATTGCTTAAAAATGTCTGTATTATGAAAAAACTTGGCATAACATCTGAGGCAAGGAAATCTCAAACAGAATCACATGTTTATGCATGATGGAGCACTCCTTATGAACATTTAGAATGAGTGATTGATTAGGCATTCATGTCCTGCTGCCTCGTCTCCTCAGTCACTGGACTTGATGGATTTTTAATTATATGGAACAAAGTTACCACCCAATAGAATGAAATGCCATGCAATGAAGCAACTGCATGATATTTAAGGCAGCTTTTTAAAATTAACACTGTAGCATTGTCTACTAGTGAAATTATGAACTAATTCCCCCTCTCCCCTGCACCCAAAATCTCAAAGTTCTTGCCATGAATTGCAGTGCAAACAAACAAACAAAGAGAGAGAGAAAATCTGGACCGAATTCAAAAAGTGCAGTATTTAAAATTAAAGTTAATTTATCTTAATACATTTAACTTTGCACCTTGATTCCTTCAGTTTCCAGTTACTGAAAGAAAAATGCAAATTTTATTTTAAATAGGTACTTCTCCACACTAAAATAGTTACCTGAGCTATTATGAAGCCTAGTGAGGTAATCCAGTTGCATTTGGTTAGTAACTTGATACGCAAGTTGCTCTTCTTGGCACAAATACCTTGGCAACTGTATTAAAGCATTCATGCAAACATTGCTAATGTAATTTGCTGGAACCAGACGAATGGGAACATCAAGTCGCCTCTTTCTACAAAAACACACACACACACACACAAAAAAAAAAAAAAAAAAAAAAAAAACACCATTACTCTTAAAATACAAAAAGTAATTTTAGAAATATATTCTCAACACAAGAAAAGTAAATTGCTTGCAAATTTACAGCATTTCCTAAATTGGTTTTCTGGGACTAAAAGCTACTTCATTAGATGTCCTAAAAACGTAAACAACTCCGAATGATTATAAAGTAGTGTTTAACACATATTTTATATCATACTCAATATTTAAAAGCATCTAAAGAAATGAATAATTTTTTTCCGGGGTAGGAGGGGGGCCAATGTTCGTTTTTAACCTTGCAGCATGCGCGCTTGGCAATTTTACACAAGAATGCGAGCGTCGTAATTTTTTCAACATATGTTATTTTGTCGTTTTTGGCACAAAAAGCAACAGAATGAGTGAATATTGATAATAAATTAAGAAATAAAATATTAATCTTATTATTGCAAAATACAAATATCACATTCAAACAGCGAAAATCCGCCGACCTGAAATCCGCGTATCCTCTCAGAATATAAACATTCAGTTTATAGGTTGCGGAAACCGCAAGATTGAGTACGAAATATTGAAGAAAAAAATTCTTACGAATAATGACGTCATAATTACCGAATAATAATGAGTCAAAACGGAAATACCAAGTCAAAAAAATAAGATAAAATAAATAAGTTTTTTCCCGTCTAATCTGCATCCAGATAAAATAGCAGATGATTCACTCAACATTTTGTTCAAGTTCACGATTCATGTTGTTGTATTTTCTGAGCTTTGTTATTTCATTTCATGAGACTGTGTGCTGCCTTTTTTTTTTTTTTTTATCCAGATATTTTGTGGATAAATTAAGAATATTTTTAATTTCAGCCCTTTTAAATACAATGGCAGATAAGAAACGCACTCGTGATTTTACTGCTTGCAACCTTGAAAAACGTAAACACGTTGCATTGACGGTAACGCAAAAAGTACAAATTCTGCAAAAGATGGAAGCAGGTGCTACTCTTTGATTTATAGCAGAATGGTATGGTTGCGACACGATTGTGTATGATATACGGAAAAATAAAGAAAAGCTGTTGAAATTTTACAGCAACAGTGATTCTAACACCGGATTGCGAAACCGGAAATTTTGCACAAGACGAAATCGGCAAACCTCGATGCTGTGTACATATAATACAATCAATTTATATATGTAATAATAATTTAATGCATATAATAAATTATTGCAAAAATGTATATAATAATTTAATTAAATGTACCTAATATGCCTTATTCATTTTGCACTTTTAGTTCGAATATTATGCTTTATCTTTTCTGTCCTGAAATCCGCAAAACCTCTGGTCCCAAGCTTTGCAGATTTCTGGAATTTTACTGTATAAGTAAATTATTTTAAAACTCTTATTATAGTGAGATGGAAATGGAATGATGTATTTCATTATAGGAAATTTTAAGTTTATTATTTAATAATTATATTTTTAAATCAAAGCTAATTTTAATATTCATCAAAGACAAGTATAGACAGACAATACAAAAGGAAAACACATTGGTAGGGAAAAAAATAAGTTTAGCATTACTTACTTCTGCAAGGAAATTTACTTCTTACTGGTTACAAAAACGCACTTTAAACTAACTTTAACGTTTTTATTTATTTCTAAAAAATAGAAATAAAAGAAAATAAGGAATGGAAATCGCTACTGTTCTCCCATCCAAAGGTTTACTTGTCTTCCTTTTCTTCATCAGATAAATAATTCTTGAAGAATCCAAGCAAAATCAGCTGGTTGCACATATTTTTTTGCCATGAAAACCAATATAAAATTTACAGAGCCAAATATATTCAAATTAAAATAATAAATGGGAATTAATAACACAAAATTACAAAATATTCGAGGGAAAAAATATTTTCCGAATTTTAAAACACGACCACGCGCGTGTCATAACTTTTGTGAAAAAGTTGCCACATAACACAAAAACTCAGTTAAAAAAAAAAAAAAAAAAAATCAAACGACTTCCTGTGGGCACATTCCATGATGTGGGGAAGGGTAGAAAGGAGGAATAGAAATGACCTTCAGATGTCAGATCAGCTTCGATATGCGAAAAATGTGCATTAAAAACTGAATTTGTCGTATTTTGCGCATACATGCGTGCTGGAAGGTTAATAGATGATTTTGGTGCAAGCATCACTGATAATGCAAAGGAATGAAATTGTAGGCATCAAGAATACTTTTGTTTAGTATTTGTAATGCATTCTTTTTCTATGATTCTCATCAATTCAGCATTTATTAAAAGTTTGCAACCTATACGTCGATAAAAAATATCTTGTGGTGTCAGGTTTGGTAAAAGCAGATGATTTGTATTAAAATCTTTTCATCTGATAGGTAGATTCCTCCCGAAAGTAGGTTCTTACACCATAGTGGAAGTCATGGAGGAGACTTATAAGTTTCCTTATCATCAAAGTTCTCTTGAATGCATAGCACAATGCATTGCTGCAACAAATTTAAGTAACTAACATTATTCACATTACTGTCAAAATGAATGGTTCAATCAATCCCTTTTTTGTTTTTAATTAAGTTTTTAATTCCCAGTAAATTAACATGACATTCCTATATAATTCTCAGGTGGTAGTTAATAAACTAATTAATTTGAACACATTCTATTGCTCCAAATAGTCTTTCTTGGAAACTCCATGATCTGTGCCTATTGAGCTGCTTACTACTCATAAAAATGCACTCTCACAAGTCCAGATCACTGAAAGCACAGACTGTTCTTGAACTACAACTTTTCCAATAACAATCTTAAAACGAACGAGACATTTCATTTTAACATTCCTAGAATGCTCCTGCAACCCTTTTGAGATAGTTTATTTATTTATTTTTTAAAATCTGATTATATTCTACAGTAACTTACTCTGAGTGGCTCTTTGGTATCTGAAGGGCTTCTGGAATGTTTCTTGTGGACATGGAATAGTCTCGCATATTTCAAGTGATGAGAAGTCACATAGGTAGATCTATTTGAAAATATTTAATAAGCAGGTTTTGCCCTTCAGCTCCATTTTCAAATATCAAGCAATACTTAAGAATTTCTTTTGCTCAAAGTTTATTCTAAATTCATCCATTACTTCATATGGTTAAACCAATAAAGGAGCAAAAATTAGGTCAGTTTCAGTATACATATTGTTAAGGTTTTTGTACTGATTTATTTAGTTTGCTATTTTTTAATAGAATTGTTATTAAATTGTTTCATTTCCCTGTGCAATTCTGCACGTGACTTATTTCAGGAGAAAGCTACAGCAGAAAAATTAAAAATGCAGGAGCATGTGCATTTAATAAACAGATATCTCATAATTGCACACTTTTGCTTTTCGGGATAAATCGAAAAAATGCCAGAATATGTTCATGTGTGAATTAAAAAGCTTATAAAACGTAGGAAAAACCCCTCAATTCAATAATTATTTTATGGGTTTTGTTTAGAAAACTGCTGTTTACTATAGCGAATTCGCAGTGAAATTGGATTAGCTTTCTCTACGTTTCTCTGTTTTAAATTCTATTCAATGTTTTTAGTAGTTTAAAAGATAACTACTGTGAGATATTGTATGAATAGCTGAGGAACTTCAAGCATTTTGTTTTATTTGTTATAATAATAAATTTTATTCACTTTTCGACTTCTGCATTCAATTCATAACAAACCCATACACACATAACATATTGGGTGTTTCAGCAAATTGGTTACAAATTTTCAGAAGAAAAAGAATACACCTAGATGATAGAAAATCACATAGCAATGCATAGTCAGAAATGTTTTCTTGGCGTGGTGGTGACAACACAAAACACACACAAAAAAAGAAGGAGATGAACAGGATGACAAAACATGTTTTATTATGTTGAAGTACAGCAAAAATCAACAAGAGCACAAACAGACAACAGTCGTAATTAAAGAACGTGTTCGAAACTATAACCCCAGACCACGATGCAGACTTCACATCTCCAGCACATGGAAGATGCATGACACACAGTTTCTGTATCTCGGTCCAGGTTGTAACTTCGACCACCTTCTTTGATGACGATCATCTGTTTTTGATCTGATTTCTTGGTTTCTGCTGCACTAAGCATAATAACATTATTCTCACCCTCTTGCTGTCCTTCCTTGATATTTTGTGCTGTCATTACTGTGCCAGGAAAGAATTTCCGACTATGCACTGCCATGTGTTTTTCCATTGTCTAGACGTAATCTCTCTCTCCTGAAAGTTTGTAACTGACTTGCTGTAACACCCTGTATATACACAGTTTTCTAAGACCTCCTGTAATTGTTCTGAAAATAGCAGAAACCAACATCAACATCAAGGTTGAATTTTACGCTAAATTATAAACTTTGTGACAGATTAAATGTTGAAATAAATGCTCTAATCTAACATGGAGAAGCAGTTTTTACAAACATAAATAATGAATATTTAACAATGCCTATGAATTACAAAATCTGCCCTTGAAAAATTATTACAACTTAAACTTTTTGCAGGCACACAGAAAATTGCATACAAATCAATCATTCTATTTCTACATCAAACGACATTGGCTGGGTAAAATTTTGCATTCCACTGCAGTGTAATACAACTGGACATTAACAAAGTAATAGTCCAGCAAAGCAAAGGAAGCCAGCACATACTTAAATCTGAATTATCACTGAAAAAAAGAATGGTTTCTAAAACTATAAACACTTTATGAATTCTGATCTACTCGAAATCCAAGATGAATGTGTAAAAGACATTTTATCACATGAAGCCCTTTGAATACAAAGACAGGGTTCATAGCCACATTTTAGTTAAAAAAATAAGCACCTATAAGCATTTTTCAAGCACATTTTAAGAAAAAAATAAGCACCTGTCTAATTACATTATACACAACTGCATAACCTTAAAAGAAAAATTAGACTTGCAATTTAAAATATGAGCAATGCAATATTTATCAAGAGAATGAGCATTACCTCAACCATGGAAAA